TAATGCAGTGACGTTTTGTACCCTCTGGCAAACTTGATACATAAATAAATGAGTTTCTATCTAAATTCCATTGTGTGCAGATTTGTACCAAAGAATTGTTGTGATGTGCATCATTATGTCTCATTATGTGATTGCAAGTAACCTTTTGTGTAGCAGACACAATCCACGTAACATGCTGTGTGACCAGTTTACAAAACCAGGCTCCTTCAGAAGGGCAAGTAATTAATCATTATTCAGCAGTAGCACTCAGCACTCCACTTCTTGCTGGCAGGAGTGTATTACTGAGGGCATGCCTAGCTGCTACAATACATTATTCATGCAACAGAAAACTACAGTTGTCTGTGGTGTTGTTACAATAAATGGTTAAAAGAAAAGAAGAAACAGTTAATTTTCAAGTATGAGCCTGGTGTTGGGTATGTATTTTGTTTTTTTTTTATTAATTTACTGCCAGCACACTGCACGAATAAGCATAGGCCCGAGTTACAAATGCTGTGGGAAAGAATTAGCGTAAGGCACCAACCTGCGTTTTTCATAATGCCAAAGTCACTAATCCGAGGACAACGAGAGGATCTCTTGAATGCCTTCCCTTGAAGGTATAGCGCAGTAACTTTATGGCCATAGTAATTTTATTACTTTATCAAGCACTAATTTAATAGAGAACGAAATGTACATTGTCAAAAATAAATTGTAGCAAATATTTTATTTGATTAAGAGTCGTAATAGTAATTTGCGTATTGTGCTCGTTAGGACATGGATTTTTTCATGCTTACTTTAGGCTTTCATTTAAACCACATCTATCATGACGCAAATTAGGCCCACGTGATTATTTGCACTTGATCACTGTCCACTATTTACACAAAGTGGGGTTAATGCAAGAGGCTAACAAGGGTTGCAGTTCAATCTGATTTTGCAGAGGCTGGAATTGTACCCCAGCTTTCCACTCAGCTGCCTTTATCATGGTGCTTTGCAGTTCCTCTCTATCTGCAAATACAGTAAGAAAAAAGTCAATATAAGTAAATACCTCTATCGTAAAATCATAATCTCATAGAATCACCAAGGTTGGAAAAGACCTCCAAGATCACCCAGTCCAACCGTCCACCTATCACTGATAGTTGTCACTAGACCATGTCCCTCAACACAAGATCTAAATGTTCTGTGAACACCTCCAGGGTCAGTGACTCCACCACCTCCTTGGGCAGCCCATTCCAGTGCCTGACCACTCTTTAGGAAAAGTACTATTTCCTAACATCCAGCCTGAATCTCCCCTAGGGCAACTTAAGGCCATTCATTCTCTCTGTCCTATCACTGGTTACACAAGAGAAGAGGCTGACCCCCAGCCCATTTCGACCTCCCTTCAAGTAGATAAAGTACCTCACCATCTACTCCTTCCAAAAAGATGCACTTCATATCAGGTCTCGCCATTTACAAAAGCTATGGGTATAACTATTCCAAAGAGATGAGTGAATTTCTTTTTAATAGCTTTTCTTTCTATGGGAGTCTGATTTCCCCAGCAACACAAATTTGGAAGGAGAGCTCAATGTATCGTGTCCAGTCACGTCACAAGGGTTCTTAACATGTTTTAAACATGGAATCAGAAATTCCTTTGTAAAACTGTGATTACAAAAGCATGTTGAAGGGAAGTTGCAATCATTCAAAGGACACTCAAAGGCTAAACATGCATTGAGAAATGCGTTCCCAGCTTCAAAAGAAATATTTGTAACTTCACCAAAATTTGTCCCTGAAAAAAATAATCCTTCATTTTGCTTTGGGTTCACAGACTGCTCTGATTTTGGTTGAAGTTGTTCATCTGAAAAGGCATCAGTCTAGGAATAAACACTGATGAAATGCAACATTTACAATTTATATATGTATTCCATTCAGATGCAGTTTCCATAATTGCATTATGCAGACAGCAGCCACTCAGAAGAGCATATCGTGCATAAAAAGATTCATTTGGTTTCTCAGCAGAATAGTACGAGGAGAGCAAAGCGATAGGAAGCGCAGAGGATATATCCACCTCCTCTTGCTGAGGATTTCATTTTCTTTGCTGAGAAGCCTGGTTTCCTTTGTCCCGCAGTATGAACAAATATACCAGTTCCCAGTGAAGACAGGCTGCCCTGTGTCTATCAATAGAATCTATATAGAATCTTTTCCCTTAGGGATTAATTCAACTTTTGATTCAATCTTCCTGAGCTTTAAATTATGATGTTACAAACCTCCAAGGAACTGCTGTACTATTTGTGACCTTCTTTATTACTTTCTGCTGTTTGATAAAGTAGAGAAAATTGATTTATAGTTTAGTTTGCTTGTGAACATGGAATATCAATGGTGACAGTAGGATTTATGAAAAAGAGAGGGAAGTTGTATTGGTTAAAGTTTAACAGTTTATTAATTAATGGCGAAGGACAATAGAATAACTGCATGTTAATCTTAATGAGATTCCGGAAGGGGAATGCTAGCATTGTATTTACATTTTGCAAAAGTTTCTCTCCAAGAAAGAACTTTCTATAGATTCTGTTTTCCTTTCCTTCACCCTGATTATGACCTGTTGGGTGTTCTTGTGTTTCCTGTAAGCATTAAAGGTTAAAGGTGGTACACAAGGCCGAAGTTTTCCAAATAGAGCCTAAAATTAGGCTTTGGTGTCTGTTTTTGGATTCTTAGGCCCCAATCCAGGAATCTATTTTTATTCAAAGCAGCAGGGCACTTGACTTCAATGGATCTAAAAACGCTCGTGCTTAAGTGCTTTGCTGAATCAGGATGGACTTAAGCACAAATGTAAATGCCGTGCTGAATTGGGGCTCTAAATATGTGGCTTGATTTTAAAAGTGCTGAGAGCCGGCAGGTCTAATTGGAGTCAATGGGAGCTGCAAGATGCTCAGCATTTTTGAAAATCAGGCCACTCACTGAGGTGCCTGAGGTTGATTTCAGGTGCTCAGCTCAGAGCATTTGCTGTAGGAGAAAATGTTAACCCAGGAGAGCAGGCAATGGAAGGCATGATTTCTTAATAAATGAGATCTTGATTCCATATTAAAAAGAAAAAAAAAAAAAGTAATAATATAAAATGAGGAATGAGGCAAAAAGTAATACTTTTCTGGAAATCTGATTGAGTAGTTTTTATAAGCATCAAAGCGCTTTGCAAAAATAGGAAATGAATAAACCAATCAAATTAAAAATCCAAGAAATAGCGGGTTGAATTCATGCCTTTTGCAACTCCAGCAACACTGATGAAGTACATCAGGGATGGATTTTATCCCGCTACACTTTGAGCATTAATTTGATCCGAAACAGCAAGGCAACAATGCAAATCACATGCAGAAAAGAACATCACTCTGATAGCACTGTGAGCACCAAGCACAACATTTCAGATCCATAAATGGTGAAAATGCCAGCTGTAAGCACCACAGTTCCCACTTTGCACTCTCTGCTGCAGGAATCAATGAACCTTGAGGAGGAGATGGCAGACTCAAAGGAAGAGGTAGTGAAGAGAGAGTGGGGGAAAAAACACAATGTATGGGAAGGGAAGACACAGCTAGAGGAGTACTGAGGGTCAGCAGCAAAGCACGGTAGGGAAGGCCTGCTCTCCCCACAGACACATTGCCCCAAGCTTCCGTCCAATCAAGGGGCTGCCTGCATCAAGATCATACTTGGCAATCAATGGCACGCTTTGCTCTAGAGCACAAGAAAACCTCTCAGCTAAAATACACCAGCTGTGCTAGGCTGTGTCTCAGATCAGGGCACAGGTACCTTTCTGGGTCATGCTGTCAAAGGTGAGCGTACTCATAGCCAAAGCATGGCACGGTCAGCTCTGTCATACTAGTTTGTATGACAGCCTATGGGATAGGCCTCCAGTGGTATTTTGGCTACCTGTGAACAAACCTGCCCAAACCACACCACACCACACCAATTACCTCTCCTTTTCATCCATGCTTAGCTGAAAGGGCTGAGTACTAACTGCACTTCTCCTCAGAGTTGCTGCCATCCCAGTGACAATGCTGGTATGGAAGGCCACCATGCTGCACACTGTATTGTCCAGGAAGGATTCAACAAAGCCTGGCTTGTCATCCCATCTACTTGTCCGATCCTCCTAGCCTGTCTGAGAAAGGTGATGTCAATTGAATGTCAGGATGTTAACATTTCCTAGCAAAGGTATTTGTCATCTCAGAATGGAAGATAACAACCATTTTGGATTTGTCAGTCCCTCCTTCCTGCACAATCTGGATCCAAGCACGGCCTTTCATTACCTACCCTCTCATAACTTGAGCCAGTAACTCATAACTCTCCACTGAGCATTTTTCAAAAGTCTTCCCAGAAGATTTATGTTAGCCCTTCAACAGCCTCAAGCATTTATGGGGAAAAAAGCAGGTATCACCTTTCTGCTACTCAATTATTAAAACAAGTGGTTCTGCCCCCTGCCAGAGGTGCAGGTGTGATCTGGGCTATTTGAAATCAGCTGTGACCATTAAGAAGAGCAATAGAAAACCCAGTCAATGACCAGCTGGGTGAGAAATCTGTCACTTTTGATAAAAAAGAGAAACAGAAGTGGATTTGAAACATTCGTTTCCCTTTATTTGCTCAGTGAGGCTGATGTGTACTGCACATTAAAAAAAAAAAAAAAATCACAGGAATTTTCATACAATGAATTAAACCACAAAAGTACATGTAGAATTGGCAGGTGGAAAACAGCCCAGTGTGGGCTTAACTAATAGCTCGCTTTCCCTGTTCAGCATAGTCCAACCAATAACTATACATGTTCACCTACTGCACAAATTTTACTGTAGCTCCATCAGGTCAGTGGTTCACATGATTGAAAATGTCTGTCACATAGGTACAAATTTAGAATCATCACATTATATTACATGGCTATTCTAGGTCATTTATAGATCAGATCTTATACTACAGTGATTGAAGTTCTCATTACAGCCATCAAAAAGGACACATAATCATTACCTACTGTAAGCTTATATCTAAAGGGATAAGAAGGTATGTATTTTGTTGGTGGGTTGTTTTTTTTTTTTTTTTTTCCAGCTGACCCAAGTATTACACCCCAGAGGCACAAACTTTCTTCTCAGTGCTGCTCTTGGTGATGGCAGCCCAACTGATTTTCAGAGCAGTTCAGTATGGATATTTTTTCCACAATTTTAGGCTCCCTCTGTTTGGATTTGGATCATTTTACCTTATGGAGGAATTACTTTGTTATAGCTCCAGAAAAGACCATAGTTTTTAAGTAGCAATTCCGTTACCTGTATTGCAGATGTGGTACTTACCACAGCATGAAAGCAACAGTACAATCTTCATCTCAAAGACATACAGAGCTATGCTGCAATTTGCCGCCAGTGACAATGTGGCACATGTGCTAATTTGAAATGTTCTTGGGAGGGGGAAAAAAAGGAAAAACGGAGTTTATATTTTGATGGGTTATTTACTACAGTGTCTACAAAGGATACAAATAGCTTTATTCAGCAATCCTAGCTCTACATTAATTTCTATATGTAATCTGTAAATCCACAGAGGAAAGCCATCTTCAAGATAAGAATGCTTGCCAGGCCAGTGAAAAAAAAAAAAAAGATCTATGACTTTTTGCCTGCTTGGCAAAAAAATAACCAACGCTCCCCTCTTCCCTCTCCCCCCCAAAACAAATCCACACCAATTTATTCATGTCAGCAATATAGGGCAAAAGAAAATGTATTTAAAATGTAATCACATAAATTCAAAGGCAAAATAGGTAATGCATCTGGTCCTTGAACACATAATATAATCTACTAAATATTGATTTCTTAAAAATAATTTATTGCTTTTAATATTTTTCTTTACAACAGAAGATACTCAAAATCCAGAAAGGAAAACTGTAAACTTTTAGTTTGGCATTCACACAAAGTTAAAATACCTGCATTTTTAACCTACAGAGCAACAACGAGAATTATGCAGATTAAAGAATGTTACGGTTGTAACACAGAACCTCTGAAAAAGTTCTTTTTTTTTTTTTCCTTTTTCTTTTTTATTTTTATTGCTACCTATCTACTGAGAAATAAGAAGCCGAAAAATCAAGCAAGCATCCAACAGGACAGATAGTGGAATCTCTCAGAACACAATATGCTGGTGATAAAATGAATGCAGCCATCAAAATCAACTGCACTGGCATGGGGCGGAATCAGTTTTCTAAGATTGGGAGTGGGAAAGGAGATTAAATAGTTAGGTGTGCCATACCTTTAAGAGGAGTCATGAATGCCAAACAGTAATAGAATACCAAATCTATACATTCGCAAGCAAATTCCAAACTTTGCTGATTCAGTCTAGAGACTCCAAGATCAGATGAAATTCTGATGCTCAGAATAGTAGTAGCTAACGGTTGTGTTTTTTTTCCTTTCACTTTCCTGAAGTTTCTATTTAATTTAGCAGAAGCAATGTCATCAGCAACAATGTCATGGGCACATCTGAGGCCATGCTAGTGCACAGTAAAAAAAAGAAAAAAAAGAAAAAAAAACCAACAAAAACCACTGCTTCTGCAAAAGCTGAATTTTCAGACAAAGCACTTACTCCAAACTGACAATCATCATGCATCCTAGGTATAAAATTTCCACTGGCCTTTTTCTTATTTTAGTCATCTCATAATTTATAATAAATAGGATAATCATAACTGATAAATATGTCTCTTTAGTAAACAAAGGAATGAAGGATCATTATTTATACAGGATGCATAACTGTAAAAAATACAGATAAATACCATCATTAAACTCTGCCAATGAAAAGATTACTGGCTTCGAGAACAGTGTTTAGACACAGAATTACTGTAAAAATCATACTGTACTGAGTACCTCAGCGTATTTTTATCAAATTAAAATCACAAAAATTAAAACAAAATAGCATTTTAAAAAGATTTCTGATCTCTAGTTCCAAAACTACTGTTGATACATAAAATAAAAACATTTCTTAATGATTACCCATTTGAGAGACTTTACATAAAATTATGATATCTCCTAGAAAAATTTAGATGAGAAAATTTCATTCCCCTAACAAATTCAGTGTATAAAACTGCAAAAAAAAACCAAGCAATGAGAAAAATGTGGAAAAATACTGCAGAAGTGGTTAACACCTTTTGGGCTAGGATCATCGTTGACAAAATTCTTACATAAGCTCACCAAGGAAGGGATGAATGTGTGTAAAGCGTTTTTGCAGTCAGACACACACACACTCGCACGTCCTCACCCACACGCTTTTCTCTTTTTTTTTTTTACAATCAAATATATATAAGCATAAGTTCAGCTTTCTACATATGTTAGTGTACAATAATTGTTTCACCTCATATAATTACATTTGAGTATTCTTGATTAAGAAAAATTCAGCAGTTTTTGAAAAGAAGGCTGCATTTACAGTGCATAGCTGTAACAAAAAAAAAACATTGTCATACAGTATGTACATAAATAAAAATACTCCATTTAACATCTGTAAATACTCAACTACTTTAGAGAACGTAGCAAATAAACTATCTGCGCTCACACCCAGATAGTTCTATCCAACTCTCATTAATAATGTAACACCACGTCCGCTCATTAGAATAAATCGCTGAACAAGCTGCACATTTGACCATTAACACGGCTTTGAAAACTTTGCTGTGGAAGATCAACATTGTAGACATTTACATGGGTGTCAGAATTAAAAGACGAAACTTCAAAATGTTAGGGAAGCTTTAGCCTTTCATTTTCTCTTCTGCAAGGAAAAAAAAAAACAAGAAAAAAAAAAGAAAGATCTTAAAACTAAAACACATTGCAGGCTTGTGGGACCTGCGTTTTCTTCTGGATTGTCATTTATCACTCTGTTGTGAGAAGAAGCTTCATTTAAAAAAAAAATGCAGTGTCTGATTCCCAGACATCAGCAGCCATAGTTCGCAAATTTGTTCTTTTTCCGCTTTGCTTTTGTTCTCGTTTTGTTAAAATGCACTATGTACACATTTTGAAGTTCTACGTTGTAAGTGTATCTCTGTGGAACTGCTGCCATGACATGTGGTTTGCCCTCGGTCACGAGAGGACCGCAGGCTGCCCCGCCACCGGTCACCCGCGAAAGCAAAGCTGACACCCATGGACACGCGTGTGCTTGCTGGAAAGCCATTCTGCCTCCTCCCTCCTCGAGCAGCTGTGTTCATGTAAACCATGGTTTTGAACAGAGAGTGTAAAGTAGGAGAAATTCCTAAGTATGACTTTTAATTGTCCATTATTGAAGGACGTGATGTCCGTGAGGTATTCGCCATCCCTCCGTTTTCCTCGGGTGTGATACATGTTACCTGCGCAGGCTCCGCTGTGCCTCTTTAAGTAAACTATCAAAATCCATGGAGTCATACTTGCTTTTAGTGGAAGCAGGATCAAAATCATCTGAGTTTGAATCTGAAACCCAAAGAGATGCAAGGTCAGTTAACAGGCACAAGGCGCTGGTGAGCGCTTCCATCTTTTTCTTCGTACAGCAGTATGAACAAACACTACAAAAATCACCCATCCATTCAGCATGGATGGAGCTTTCTGTAAGAACAAGACTTTAAAAAATGCATAGTATGTCTTCAGCAGAATGAGTGAACTATAAAATGAATGTGTACGTATTGAACCGGTAAACTCCAAAGAGCTTCTCCAAAGACTGAGCACTGCCACTCTAAGACTCTAAGTAGTCATAGAATGGCTGAGGTTGGAAGGGATGTCTCCAGATCACCGGGTTCACATCTAGTCCATGTAACCATCACATGTGTTCTACCAAAAAACGCATTACGGTTCTGCAGCTGTGTTTTGTAAGGTCTAATATCCCAAACTTACTTTTCCTGAGATAGGTGATAGCAGCTGACTGTGGTGAAAGCCACCACAGCCTGCAGAGAGGCATGCATGAGACACAGCCATGGGCTGACCTGCCATAGGGCCTGATGCACCACACCACACCTCCTTCAATCTCTCTTATTTTCTGCTCTGACTGTTTTGGTTTGCTTGTTCAGAACATGAGCAGCTCAGAGCAGAGTCTCCATGCTGCTGCACAAGCAATCTCAGGTGGCATCCTCAGCTCTTTGTAACATAAGTGTAACAGCAAGAACAGCAGTTCACCATCTGTGGAATGTGTGTTTTAGATGGGATATGTAATACCTGCTCCAGTGCTAATAGTTGCCAGGACATCATTCTGTTCCTAGAGCAAAGGAGGGATCACTTTGTGGCAATACAGTTCCACTGCAGCAATTACTGACTCGACTGCAAGAATTGTATTTCCTTTTGGAGTCATCCCTGTTCAGCTCTGGCTCTCCCTGGTTTCTATGTCACAGAGAGTGCCATTTTCTTGCCATTTCTTCTGTTGAATTAATCAGAACTCCCCATTTACCTCTATAAGACATACTGTGAATTAAATGTTCATTACAAGTCCTGTTAAGACAATATCTTCTCACAGAGGAGAGGTGTTAAACTTCTGACTACTATTTTCAAGTGTTTTCTTTCTTCTGTACTCAACCCAAAGCTGATTAATTCTTCCTGTCCTTGTACTAGCTCATGAATTTTCAAGTTCATCCTGCCTGTGTAGCAATATCAGATACACTGAAATACAGAGAATGCAGTCTGAAGTAGAGAGGCTCAAGCTGTCAACGGGACAAAGTGAAAATACTCTGCTTAGAGATACTCTGTGAATCCCACTCTGGCAAGTTCTGCCAGGAAATACTCTCAGCGATGAATAATGTTCCAGGAGGGTTCCCTTTAGACAACTTACTTCAAACCCTAGATTTTCTGAAACACAGGAGGCCTTCACTTCCACTACCAAAGATAAGTCACAGCAAGTTAAGACTTCAATCTGCTTATAACGTTTATATTGTTTTTATCAGCCCACATTTCAACAAATGCCTTGCTACCTTTTACATATTCAACATTACCTTATATCTCTCCAGAAGTCAACTGCCTTTTCTTAGCTTTATATTATCTGTATAGCCACTGAAGAGAATTATAGCATATTCATTGTGAACAATGTGTATCGTCTTTATCATTAATTCCGAAAATACATCAATTGGTTAGTGAAAATATATTTGTATTCACTTTCTGCATTGTACAAAGCCAAGGGCAGTAGATACAAGATTTCATTAGCACTGTGTTACAGGGTTATGCAGGGATTTTAATGACTGTGGTCATTTATTCATAAAAAATAACTCCACAGTATCAGACTAATATAGATTCAGCAGCAAACTGTCCCTTGCTATTTTATCCAGTAAGAGCATCTCCCGTACCATTAGACTATTTATACAGGCATCAGGAAAGCTTTAACATTTGATGAATGCTTTCAAAGGTAATTAAATAAGAGGTGAGATTATAATATAATATAATATTAAAAGGATGTTTGGGAAATCTGCATGGACACTTTATGCACGTACATCAGTACTCCTCCTATAAGAGTTTTAACACTTCCAAACATCCTCGCAAGGGGAAGCATCATACTCTGACCCACAGCATAGGGCAGAACCCTACATTTATGCCAGAACAGAACTGGGGAAGATCCAGGTGAGTTATCATTCTGCTATCACTGACACACACCAATGGTACAGCAACACCAAGAGATTTGCCATTCTCTCCACTGGCTGGAGCCTCTCACATCATCAGTGGAAGTCCTTGCAGGGAGACACATTCACACATAGATGCTGATGGACAGTGTGAAAACCACCAGCTGAGATCTGTGCCCTTTGCTATAGGACAGGTCAGATTTGGTCATGAGTCCCTCTAGCTTTCAAACCTAAGAAACTACAAATCACATTTAAGGAGTATTTCTGACAAATTCTATCACACACTCACAGCAAAATAAGATTACAGCAAATCTGGGGGAAAGATGAGAGGATGAGGCTTCTACTTTGGTTTTTTTGTTTATGGTTCATATAATCAAATTGTGTTAGAGAAAAGGAGCACACCAATGAACAGTAAAGAATTGAACAAGTTTTTGGGGTGCTATCATTTCAGTATGGCTATGTACTATTGAATACTGGGCATTTGTTTTATTAGTGATGGAGATGGGCTTTAAAAGAATTTTCACAGTCTGAAATATCTGAAAAAGTTAATACAGTGTACAGCTCTGATTCGTAGACTTTAACATGCAAGTGAAAAAGTACCTTCTTTAAATCCCTCACACCGACTATTCAAGTAACAGAAGCAGGTCACAAAAAACAAGCAGACTAAATTCTTCTGAGTTACAACATGGTTCCAGTTATGTACTTTAATTCACAGAGAGCAAGATACCTACCTAGGTCTGCATAGTTAGACTTGCAAAACTGCTTGCGTCCACAAAAGTACAGCTCAAAGTCAGGTTCATTTGACCTGCGTAAAGTGTATCCATTTTCAAGAGCAGCAAAGGCATCACAAGTGTAGCGGTAGGTGATGAAACCATAGCTGTCTCTGTAATTAAAAAAGACAGTCATGAAAAATAAAAAAGCTAAAAAGAGTAAACACACATTTGTGTAACCCCTTCCTGAAAGCAAGAACTTGCAAGAGATCCAGCAGTGGAAATGCCAGAAGTACAGCATCCATTGATCATCCTGTCATGCAGCTAAATACTTACTTCTGGGACAGGAAATCTCAACTAGCAAGATTAATAAATAAGGATGAAAGAAAATAAATATGGCTTTGAATTCAACATGCCATCTGTAACAGTACTTACACTTACACTCCCATACCAGTAATCTTACTGCCATAATTTTTTACATAGGGCAGCTCTCAAACAAGAGCTTGTTTGAAAAGTTCTTACCCATCATCCCGCAAATTTACTGCGCACTCCTCTATTTCACCAAAAACTTCAAACCGGTCCCTCAGTTCTTTTCGGGTTGTGTCAGGTCTGATTTTACCCACATAAATCACACGATGCTCTTCCTGTTAAGAAAGAGCAGGACAAGATTTTACCAAATGTGCAATACAGAGGACCCTACACATACATGCATACAGATACATTCACACGGATAGGCAGAGGATGCATATTTATACTAATAGTCACTTGCAGAAGATCTACTGCATTCAGCTAATGATTGAAATATTCTCTCCTGGAAAGCCTTTAAGGTATTTAAACGATGCCAGATTTTTTGGGTAATTTTCTCCCAGAAGGTTTCATTGAGTGCTGTCACTGTTCTGCTATATAAAATGACAGACCACTCCCTCTGTATCTTATTGCATCTTTTTCCCTTCCATCTTCCCATGACTTGCCCTTTAAGACTACAAATTCTCCAGGACCAATCCCCTTTCTCTTACTAGCTATACAACACTGGGAACTAAGATGTGAAGCAGCATAAAATAATGCAGCAAGTGTGTAAGTGTATCATAAACATAACAAAATGGATTATAGACATAACATTATAAACTCAGATGACTCATTAGCTGACTCATTCTGCAATCAGCAGTTCCATCACAATCTATACCTTAAACAGAGGAAAGACTGTGAGGAGTCCAGAAAATGAGTTTTATTAAAATAAATATTGAAATAAATAAATGGAGGAAAGAGAGAAGAATAAAATATTTCCTGTGGTCACCACTGCCTTTGGGTTTGCTAAGAAGAAGAACATGACAGAATTTCCTGATTTTAAAGATTAGGGGGTCATTTGCAGGTTCCTTTGACACTTGGCGCAAACTAACAGAGACGCTTTAAAAATAATCGAGTCATGGTCATACAGCTCCTTTCTGAGTGAAAATGCTCAGGAGAATGACAGAAAGACAGGGAAAACCTGTCAAGAGTCACTTTAAGAATATCTGGATTAGCACCTTACTGGGGACAAAGTCATTCAGTGAGTTGCAACCAAAAAAAAAAGTGAAAAAGAGATCTTCAAACCACTGACCTTAATAATCAGAGCAAAGAAGTAGTAGCTTTAGAAAGCCCCAATGCTCTGATTGCCTTTGGCCTGGAGAACTACTGGCCTCTTGCTCAGCCCTTGCACACACCCACGTGTCTGTTCCATAAATTGTACCTCCATCAAATTCTTAGCTGGTGTAAATCTGTCAGTCAGTGGAGCAATGTCAGTTTAAACCATCAACTTGGGCACCTGAGACTTGCATAGAATGTAGGTGCTGAATTCCAAAGGAGCTATACTGACTGCTGAGAATTCTTGACTATCTTAACCTGGAGGTGCCTAAAGGCTAATGGCACCTCAACACGCTGAAGGCTCTAGGGATCTAAATACAAATTTGCATTCCTGCTCAGAAGCATCCTAGCTTGAAGAGTAAGGTACCTTACAGTGACACAGTTCAGCTATAGCACAAAATGTATGTTTTCTGAGAGTCCCTAGACAGGTATAAGACACCAGTAATTTCTGGACCACAGCTAATTGGCACTCATAAGACAGTAGGACTGAGATCAGACCACAATGCTTGTGGAAACAGAAATTATCCTGATGCTGCTTCTTTACTTGCTTGAGCACTCATCTGAGATAAAGGGACCATCAGAACTCCTCTTCACATGGGTATGCAAAATCATGGTTCCCTGTTCCCAGGACAGCACACTGCTCCCTGAAGCTGCTTAATGCGAAATAAACGAACAATTCTTGCAGCTGGAAGTTGAAACGAATGTACCTGCCTCCCAACAGAAGACACTTCTCACTAGCGTACTGAGTCAACTATTTTTGCTTACACTTTTCCTGGCCTCGTAAATCTCAGGGGCTCAAGTCCAGTTCATCTATGCTCCAGAGAAACTAAAGATATGAGTCCAAAGCTCCAGAGAACAGCTCCCACTACTCTCACTTCTTGGACAAAACTCCTACTCATTAAGGTGTAGTACAAAAAGTGATCACTGCAATTTTCTGGATCCTTTGTATCCCTAGTTGGCCAACTGGAGACCCTGACTGCTCCTCCAAAGCATGTATATGCTCTTCTTACTTGAAGAGATCATGTAACTGTCTCATTTAAATGCCTGAAACTACTGCTTCTATTGATTATCCAAGGAACCAAGGTGATAGGATTAATAGTCCTCCACTGCCCTGCTGGGACAGACAATTTCACTTTTAAATGTTATGCCCTCTAAAGTTCACCATTTAAAAGCTGTTCTTGCTCTTTGTAGTAGGCATAAAGCCTAAAGAAGTTAGCACAGCTAAAAGAAGGGTAAGCATGCTCACAGATGGCCATACATTTATGAAGAAGGGTTACTTTACAGACAGTTGCTGTTTCTTACTCCTACTCTCCTGATTCAGGAGTCTGGGTAGACCTTCTACGAACTAGGAAACATAGACAGCAAGCAACAGAAATCTGCATTTCTTCCATTTCCCCCATTCTCATTCTGCTTCCTTTCAGTATGGCTGGGTGCTATAAACTTCAAAAAGAAGAAAATCTGCATATGCACAGTAATTACTTTTTCAGACTGTTTTACCAAATCAAGAATTTAACTGCATTGAAGCACTTGATAAGAAACAATTCCATTGATACTTGCTATTGAACCTAAATGGCTGACCAGATGGAGCAGAACATAACATAGCAGACTGCTTAATATACTTTAGCTGAGATAATACATCTCGACTGAAAAAACATAATGTTTCACTCCCTGACACGGAGATTGTTATATTGCAGAGTGATGGAAGTAACTACTGCATGCTCTCCCATAAGTCTGTGTGCATGCCTTTGCAATTTTTACTTCCTCTATCCTTCTAATAACTTTCATATATCTAATATCCCTTTAAGACAACTGTAATAAAACAAAACTGAACAACTAAGAAACGCCTGTTAAACTATCATTAAGGGAGTAAGTTAAACTTGCAAAATTAAGGAAATTCAAATTTAAAGCTGAAATGCACCATATGTCCTCTAGTGTGTACATGAGGAGATGTTCGTTCAAGTATTTTTTTTAAGCAGAATGCTGTGATGGTATGAGGTACTGGGGAACACAGGATTCATACAGCACTGTCTTTATCTTGTTTAGCTTTGGCTTATTTAAAGTGGTTATGAAAGAAATATTTGTATTTAAAAAGACACCTGCATTTTACTCCCATTAACAATAAGAGTTATACAAGCCTAACAAGATTATAACATACCTCTAAATGTTAAAGACCCTTATTTTGTAACACGTCGCATGCTTAAGTCCATATGTGCATATTAAGTATGCTTTTTACTGCACTTGTAAGAGGAGATGATATACGCCTTGGAAATTTAGAGAACTAGGGAAAAAAGCCTTTGTTTTCAACTTAATGGGGGAAGATGAACCTGAAAGAAACAATTGTGTTCATATTTCCCTCTCAGAAATGCAGATGATTTACAATCACAGAATCATAGAATCATTAAGGTTGGAAAAGACTTATAAGTTCATCTGGTTCAACTTTTCACCTGCCACAATTTTGCCTACCAAACCATGTTTGTTAGTACCACATTTACACATTTCTTGAATGCCTCCAGGGATGGTGACCACCTCCCTGGGCAGCCTGTTCTAGTGCCAGACCATTCAAGTTTCTCCTAATATCCAACCTGAATCTCCCCTGGCTTTTAAGTGTACATAGCTCATTGTTTTACCAAGTAAACAAAGAAAAAAAGAAGAGTGTAGACAGCTTCCTCAAGCCCAGTACGTCTGTCTTCTTTGTCTAAATTTCCTTCTTCTTAATCTTGCTCTTTCCTCCTGGCAGTAAAAACAATTGAAGAGGCAAATGTGGCAGAGAATCTTAGACTGAAAATCACTATTTCAAGTATCAAATTAAAGTGCTAGAACATTAGCATGACTGGAGAAAATAGGTCCAGGATATACCTTCACAAATTTAAGTGTCAATAAAACTATCACTCATCTCCAAAATATCTCTGATGTTAAAGGTCTTTTTGTCTTGCAAAGGCTGTCTACAAAATTCACTTTGTTTCCCCTTCCTCGTTCTTAACCTTTAATTTGATTAAATCTCAGGCCAACAGACATATTAGTTTTCACATGTTTTTTTGTACCTGGCTTCTTCACCTAACATTTGTTTTCTTTGCCTGCCTCTCCTTACTGCACCCTGGGGTGCTGCTGTCCTCATTTCCCCTACCATTTTTTGTCTGCACATCTGTGGTACATAACTAGCTCTCCAAGAGCTCAACTATGCTCTATGTGAAGATGAGGCTAAAAATGAGAAGAAATTATAAAGTTGAGGTCTACCACAAGCAGCATGGAGGAATAGGATCTGGAGCTGTTAGCTGAACATGAGCCAGCAGTGTGCCCATGTGGCCAAGAAGGCCAATGGCATCCTGGCTTGTACTAGAAACAGTATAGCCAGCAGGACCAGGGAGGTGATTGCCCCTCTGTACTCAGCACTGGTGAGGCCCAACCTCGAGGCTGTGTTCAGTTTTGGGCCCTTCACTACAAGCATGTCTAGAGAAGGGTATTAAAGATGGTGAGGTCTCTGGAGCACAAGTCTTGGGAGGTGTGGCTGAGGGAAGAGGGATGGTTTAGTCTGGAAAAGAGGAGGCTCAGGGGAGACCATATCAATCTCTACAACTACCTGAAAGGAGGTTGTACTGAGGTGGGGGTCGACCTCTTCTCCCAGGTGAACAGTGACAGGACAAGAAGTAATGACCTTAAGTTGTGTCAGGGGAGGTTTGGGTTGGATATTACAAAAAACTTCCTAGTGAGGTATTGGAATAAGCTGCCCAGGAGGTGATGAAGACATTGTCCCTAGAGGTTTTCAAGAAAAGGATAAGCATGGCACTAAGGGATATGGTTTAGTGAACAAGGTGATGATGGTTTGACAGATGGACTAGATGATCTCAGTGGTCTTTTCCAACCTTACTGATTCCATGATTCTAAGCTTATCAAAGCTCTGCTGCTTCCTGCAGCACACGTGGCTGGCTGGGTACAAGCCCCTTTCTGTAACGCCTTACATGCCCAGTGTTTTGTGACTTGATCTTCATCCTTAGAACTGAAGGCCAGAAAACATTTCGAAAAAGCAATGAGAGTGGTTGGGCAGAGTCTGAAAAATAGAAATGCTATGAATGCAAGAGCCAGTAAAATGTAAGATTCGGACATCATAACAATAGTAAGAAACACTGCTGTAGATTCTGTATTAAAGAAGACTTGTAGGCTAACTATGACCTGGTAGACATGTATGAATGGCAAAAGGAAGACTCGCAACAAATGAAGAACTAAAAAGAACACTGCACAATGTTCTCAAATCTTGTTGTGTGGCTGAGGGCTGAAAAAATTCTACCGCCTTCCAGGGTGACTGCTGAAAACATAGCGATGAATCAATAAAACTCAAGATTTTAAACAATCCGTTTGAAATATTTTCAGTAAATTGTACAGAAAAAGCATAATGCCTGGGATCAGGCCCACCAAGATGAGCAACCACAAAAAAAAAAGTCCAAACTAAACAACCAACATGCATTTGCTCCTTCATTTGTGGGAAATTACTCCATTATGGGCTGTGTCTGGTTTCAGACTTCAAAGAACCCAAGCATTCATTTAGGAAACCACCTTTCTCCTGCCTTCCTGTTGTAGAGAAATTTATTTTCTTTGAAACCATGTGTTTCTTTTCTGTTGCAGTGGCATCACAGTGCATTTATCTTCTTGTATCTGTAAGCTCTCTGGGACAGGGGCTTGTTTCATACAGACTGTCAGCACTTACATATGAAAGTAGTAATGCTAATATTAATTTTCTACTCAGGTAGAAGCCATGCCCCGAAAGGTATTTGCTATGTGGTTTAATAAGCTGCTGCAGGAAAAGCCTGCATGCCTAAGAAATGCCTGGGGTGTACAACGAGAAAAAAACAGTCCTCAGTCTTCTTGGCAAAACAGAGCAATCTGCCCTGGCTGGGGGTTAGATTGTAATTTCTAGAAAGCTCTCAGTAGCCTGTTCTGTCCTGCAGTTGTTCCTGGAGCTTCATGATGAATGAATGTGTCTCTGCTATGGTCTGGAGAGCACTATTAAGTTAAGTGAGTCTTGGTGGCAGGCTGGCCTTCTGTTCAATGAGGACCCATTCTAAAATGAATTGTGGACAAGTGACATCAAGATCAAGCTACACTCTGCTAAAATTTATTCCATTAAAAAAGGCATCATAACCAAGAATACAAATATGACAAAAATATCCTGACTTTCTAACTGAAAAATGACTTGTGAGCTCAGTAGTCTATATTTTTTGTGTGAGACTGCTCAAAATAAAGATCCCACTCCATGAAAAAGACACTGAATCTCCAGTCACCGGAGAAGGGAAGACAGAAAAGAAGCAAAGAGAAAAACAACAGAGAACTTTTTGAAGTTAAGCCACCATAGCTGTAAATCTAGACAGGAACCCATACACAGAAATGCCAGCTCAGGCTTTCAGTTGATCTGAAGCTACTGCAGCCAATACATCACATGCAGACTAACCATGTAGCCATTTAAATGTACCTTTGCCACATAGCATGAGCAAAGGCTTCTAAAACAAGCCTCTTCAGCAATCTACAAATATGTCTTTGCATCTGCCAAAATACAAGCTGCTTCACAATCAGAGAGCATTGCTACACATATGGTTTTGACAGATTAAAATATGCCTATTTTTTTCTCATCTCTTTTTCCTGGGATTTACACTCATGTTGTCACATGAGAGTAATTCCAGATATTGAACCAGTAAGACCTGATGGCTTTTTGTTGAGTCATGCTTTCTGTTCCCTTTCCTCTGTGCATCTTTTCTAAAGCCAGCTCCCTGAGACCTCAGCACTGCTTTTCATGAAGAAAAGCTACCTTCCCTGAGTAGCCAGCACCTGGGGCCCTAATAGTGCTCAATCTTTGAGCTGCACTTTCAACAGAATTAGGAGGCATGTTGTCTTGAACCAGTTCTTGCAGCATGAGGATGAGCTAGAAAGAAAGGAAAATAGACTCCAGTGCAGAATTTATGGAAATCTAAACTTATGGAACTTACAGAAAGAGTTCAAGGAAAGACAAAAAGGATTCTTATGACTGAACAGTAAATGAGTTGGGCCTTTTTGGAAAGAAAAGAGTGACACATAAGAGACTCATAATCCAAAAGGACTCATAATCCAAAATCAATAAGAAAGGGAACAGAGAATGCTGGACGAAAAATAGCACCTTTGTTCAGTTAATATGCACCTTATCACTGACTTTGTGGGATCAAGGTTTCCCTTTCAATGCTCCCCTTTCTCCTATCCCCCACTGATTCGCACAGGGCTTAAACTGGCATGATTCAACACAGATTTTTAAAGTGAAAGTGTTGGTAGACTTTGGAGAAAGGAGTTAATATGACTTCAGCTACATTTCCTGCAGCTCTTGGATGACTGCTTTTAAAATTTTTGCCATGTTCTATTTATTGATATTTTATAAATATATGATTTGTCATCTCACTAAGTCATTTCAGGTCTAATTTATTTATGTTTATTAATACACAATTTCATTAATGAAGTTAATTAACATGACAGTGCTCACTTTAGAAGAGAAAATAAATTCGGCCTTGAATTAGAAAATACTAAATTTCTTAACTTGGAAGAAATGATGGTGCAGCACATCTAGAGCTTTTCAGGGATCTTCTCTTTCTCCTTTTCCCTTCATTAGTTAGTAGCCAAACATTTCCTCATTTTAAACTAAATCAAATTTTCTATCTTCACAGTAGGATTCAGGTTTTTATACCAATAAGATACAGTAATTGAGAAGTAGCAAGATACCTTCATGACAGAGGTCTACTTAAAACTCTAATTTATGTTAGATCTAAGAAAGAACAGCCATGTAAGTTACGATTGCCAGAAGTCAGTATTATCTCTAAACAGATGGAAGCAAGAAAAACACCAACAGTTGACTTAAATATAGCCCATTCTGAAGCCATGCAAAATTCTTCCATTGCATTCTGTCATGGTTTTATGATTTTTGTTATCAGTATTCTACATCACAACATTACGTAGTGCACTGAGAGATGAAGAGTTAATACTCCAGTTCCATGGATTGTTGATATTTCTGGGTACCTGGTTCTCAGAAGAGAAGAACAACTACATGCCCCAGAGGATTTTGTGTTTCTGTTTTCCATTCAGAGGGAAAGATAAAACTGTTTGCAAGTCACGAGAGGTCCCTTTTTCCTTTCTGCTCATCTCTGCAGTGTGTGTGCTCCCTAGCCATCTCGCCTTCAGCATTAGAGCAAAGCCTTCAGTTTTTGGACACACTCTCTTTTTTTTTTTTATTTCTTAGCCTCAATTCCAATTATATTGTATTGTTATCTTACATTCCACTATCATATTTAGTAGATAAGTCTGTTTCTCCTCAGATCATTGCTGCTGTTTTGTTTTTAGGCCCATCTCCATACCCTTTCCCCCTTTTCTGGGGTGTGGTCCCATGAGTCCCCCCTGCCCCATTAGCCACCGAACTGTGCTGACCTGCCCATAAACCATTGACAGCTTCCCTGAGTTTCAGATCAGAACATGCTATAGCTCTGAATCTCATGCTTTACAAAATTTATGTATCACCTATACTATGTACAGAGGTCACCTGATGCAGAGAAAAGCAAAATGATTTATCAAGCTCACAAAGAACAGCAACAGAGATGAAATCCATAAACTGAAGATGCATATTCCCTCCCAGAACTTCTCATTGCCACAGACTATGCCAGTCTCTGCTGATCTTCATACAAGTAGTTTTGAGGGTGTAAGTATTTGGACAAATGCCACAGAGTCTGTAACAGTTTTTTACTACAAAGTTCACTAAACATATTGGAAAGAGATCTACTCATTTTGGTGAGCTTTGGAGAGAACATTAAGGGAAAATGTGGAAATGAAGGTAAGCATCCCAGTACACACCAGTTTGTGCAGAGCAGCAGTAAAGGGAGCCCACCAGATAGGCTTAACAATCACAACAGGAGTCCAGAATTACAGCAGCTCCCAGCTTCCCAACTTATCAAAACCATCATGCAGGGAAACTAGAAGGGGGCAAAATCCAAACGTCTATTTAACAGCCATTTTTCTGTCCTGCTGCTACTACAGGCAAGGGAGTTGCTGATCACCTCATGGGTATTTCCTTTGCTGCAGGTACTTCAGTCAGATGAACAAATTAATCAAGTAACACACGTTCATTGTGAAAGGGGCAGCGTGAAATGACATTTTTAAATTGCATCATGTCTTCAGACTGTTTTGCTAAAAAAATCTTAAAAATACCTTAAAAGTAAACTGTGTTATAGACAAGAAAGAAACAATAAAAGACATGCCTCTGGATGTCAGTTTCAAATTCTGTACTCTCTGTATAGATAATTACAGCTACTGGAAACATCTAGTGACCAGTATGTAAGCTGACTGGCTTCTTACATTGCTTCTGCAGAGGAAGAGAAATACTGAAACTAGACTTGACTATTGGCATCCTGGAAGGTGATATACAGTAAAAACTGTGGGTTCACTGATAGATCACTATAAGGAATAGACTGGGTCACTTTTAATTCTTTGCTGTCTGGGATGAAGCCTTTTCCTAGAAAATCTTTTTTTTTTTTTCTGTTTTTTGTTTGTTTGTTTGTTTGTTTTCTGTTGACTGACCTGGAGAGTTGCAATTTAAAGAAGCTGAAAAAATTAGTGCTGTACAATCAAAACACAAATTGTTATGAAAACACATATTTGCCTAAAATTCTAAATACAAAGAAATGCACATAGACAGATATTTGCATTTTGTTTGTTCCATTACGAAGAAGAAATAAAATAGAATCTCATTCCGAGTTTTAGAAATCTACCAAAAGAAACAGAAACCTATTTCAAAATGAAAGTTATCTTCACAGTGCTTACAATTGCTTTCTGCCTCTGTCTCTCCCTTTGTTTGGCCCTTTCAGATTCCCGTTTTTCATACTCTTTGCGGTATTCTTCCCTCTTCAGCCTTTCATGCTGATATTCCTCATAGCTGTCATATCTAGGAAACATAACTTAGTCATTAAATCAAGCACCTGCATTTCTTAATGTAAATTTAGTAGTACAGTTTCTGGAATGCTTTATTATCTCTTCAGAACCAGCTGAAAAGCACACTAAATGCACACAAAATGCACTACCTGGGTCTGCGACTGTACGGTGATCTGGATCGCGACCTTGCACGTGAGGGAGAACTTCGGTGTGCTTGGTGTCTACAGTGGCTGGACTCGTAACAGTGGCAAGATCTGCAGGAAAGAAGAAAAAACTAAAACCATTCACCTCTGTCATTCACTTTGAATCTATTGACACCATTTTCTCCTGAGCTACCTCTTAACCTGACCTTACAATTTCTTCTAAGCTACCAGTGAAATTTTCCAGTGACAGTTTGCGATCTCCTAGTCAACTAAGGGGCCTCAAGTGATTTTGCCCCCCTCCTATAATGTTTCTTATTGAGGCTAACAGAGAGCAGAGAGTCAGCCACTGTCAACTTCATCTGATAGGGACTGCAGCTAGATTGGCACCGGGCAGCTTGCAGATAATGGGAAAGGTTAGTTGTGTGTATCTCTCCAATTGCTCTGCCTCTGACCTGACTGGCTCCACTCAGAAAGTGTAAACTTGGCAAATTTAAAGGATAATGGCAACAAATGTTTCCGCAGCAATCCTGTAACCTTCAGAGCTAATCAGATTGGGGCAATAAAAACAATTGCACTGGATCATGGGTTCTGGTTTTTTTTTGTTTTTTTTTTTTTTTTAAATTGTTTATTTCCTTCAAGACACTCTGTGCTTTTGCTGTTTTCCTTCTTATTACCAACAATGCTGATGTATGAAATTGCTCACTGTACCTTGAAGAGGATCTACTGCAGGGTGACCTTGATCTCGATCGGGAATATGGAGAACGGGAACAGGACCTGCGTTGAGGAAAGGACCTTGATCTAGAGCGTGTCCTTTGGGATCTTTGAGAAAATAAGGATTTGGGTGGAGATACTGAATCTCTGCATGGAGAGTTAAAAGAAGAGCAAGAAGGCGATACGTCAAATAATGAATAGGCTTGTGTCCCATCCCAAGGGTAGCATAGTTTATCACTTTCATCTTCACTGTCATCAAAGAGACCATCCATTGCTAGTCCTGAATTTATAAACATAGGTAGTTTGGAAAATTGTTCATTACTGTAATCACTGTCCCTTAGTTCACCGGTCTTATCTGCTTCTTCATCAAAAACAGCTTGGCTGGGGTGACCAAAATGCTTATTAAGTTCAGCCCGAATTTCTTGGTCTTGGAGCTGTTTTCTGTTATTACCTTGGGATCCCTGCTTACTTGTCTGTAAAGTCTCTTTCTTGAAATACTGGTCTTGTCCTAAAGAAGAACAAATCTGACACTGCCACCCAGGTGAAGAATCCTTAAATTCTAGTTGTCTGGAGTCCTGAAGTTCCTGGGATATTTTAATGTGTATTTCCGACTTTGAATTCACAGATTGACAGTAGTCATGGTCACCAAACAGCCGCAAACTGGGCCGTTTTGTCTTTCTCTCCTCATGTCCACTGGACAGTGCTGTAGTCTTGCTAAGCTGTGCATACAGCTCAGTCTGTTCTGGACCCTTCTTGACTGGGTTGTTTCCTTGAGAACTGGAAGACTCACTATAACGGGGCTTTTTTGAAGGTGGTGCAACAGTCTTGCATGATGACTTCGGCTTAGGTGAAGTCCTGAAAGGATTATCCTGGTTGGCTTTATGAGGAGGGGTCGTAGGTGGAGTTAGGCCTGAAAGAAAAAAAGGAGGAACAGATTTTTAAGCAGACAAATTTTAGTGAAGACACACATGCTTCTTTAAAATAGATAAAAAAAAACAAGACTCATTCTACATCAATTTAATTTAATTCATCTGGAAATTAGAGTGTTTAGGGTTTGAGACACCAAAGTTCTGGTGACAACAATAGCAACAGTACTAATGCATGGCCATTAATCTTCAACATCCTTTCTGCCCCTCCTCTTCTTTTATGATACCCGCCTCTCTGCAGACTCTGATAGAAAAGATCAAGAGATAAAAATCAAAAGACTTTTCTGATAAAAATCAAAAAGATTTTGATACAAAAATGAAAAGTAAAGGACTGGCACAGTCAAACATCTAAGGAAATTAGCAGACAAAAACCTGAATGAAAGGAAGTCCAAGAAAAATAAATGAGCACTACCAAAGCAACTTGTGCAGTACACAAAACTTGAATGTAAGGAAGTACAGCAACTCTGCAACTTGACTGCAATGACTCTTTGTCTACACAGTTCATTAACTTAGTAAACCATTGCTAATGTATGTATAATACATTCTTGTAAAACTAATACATTTTGCCTGAAATGTAGTTCTGCAACTGAAACCTAAGTGAACAATGAGGCTAGTACAATTGTAATGAACCATTGCATCTAGAACAAAATATTAGTGGAAGTCATGAAATAAGGAGTAGATATGAAACTGATAAGAATTTCAAGATTAACAATATCACTAGCTACCAGGATTTTTCACACAACTCTAGTACATTACATCACTACAGTGAGATGAAATTGCAGGAAGGACTGCAGCCCATTCTAGTAAAACCTCCAAACCAAAGCAACACCTTACAATAATTCATGTTTAAATCACAGAAGTTCTTCAGACTATATAAAGAATAACCCTGTGCAAAATAACAGTACACTGAACAATGCTGTCCAAGATTTCCTTTTCTAGCCCAAGCAATGAGCTTTCCATGACTTTCACAGCAAGAATGAAAAGAGTGCAGACACTTCCAAGAAATGAATGTTTCAAACATGGCTGCAGAGTTTTGTCTTTTTAACCATACAATGGAGCTCAGCAGATCAATGCAAATGGAACATATTTTATAGTGTTTTGCTGTAGAGAAAAAAAAACATTCATCAATGCATAGTGCTCCCTAAGGATCAGAAATGGAGACTGGGAGTCCCACTGCATTGTCTGCAATGAATTTGTTTCAGAAAAAAAACCAAACACCCGATATGAGTACTAAGACATGAGTAGTAGTTGTGAGAAAGAAGACTAATTTTGTCTGAGCACTTGGAAAAAATGGTTACATGGTTATGTAAAGACTTTGCCTAACGCCACCAAAGTCAGAGAAATTGAAGCAAAGGTACTGCAAGTCTAGTTATCCCAAATATGAATTTAAAATTGAAAAGGTTTTGTGCTAAGTCATCAACTATTTCCTCTAATTTGTCCTCAATTTTCATTTCCTTCCCAAAAATTCATCTAATTCAGCAGCATAGACTTCACACCTTATCTACCTCCTTACTAACAAATATTTCTGTTTCCCAAACAAATTTCCAGCAAAATGATCAAGCCTCTTCCAAATTCTTCAGTAATCATTTCTGGGTTAAAAATCTAAAGTGACATTCAATATTTGAGTAAGTAAGGATTGTTTTCTAAATAAAAAACAAAATAAAACAAACCAACCAAGAATCAGCACTTTTAGTTATGAAATAGTATAGCCCCAGAAATGACCTGGGGTTAGTTACTGAATTTTCAGAAGTGTTTTTAAAGAAAGAATGAAGTAGGACAATATTAATTCCAGCCCATCCTTATAAAATTCAACCACTCCACAGTAAATGTCTCAAATATCTGCACACATGAAAATTTCAGTAAAAGAAACCCAGGACATAATCTAATATTCAAAACAAAATATTGTTTCCATTCCCATTTCTTTAAAGATAGCCCTGACAGAAAGCAAATAACACTCAGAACATAACAGTTTCCAGAAGCTCAATGAGGAGTCCAACAGTCTTTAGATGGGAGGGGAAAAAATAACAACAAAAAAATCCTTCCAAAAGTACAGACTGAGCCAAATTTACTGGCACTTCTTTTGCTGGCAAAATTGTGCTGGGGACATCCTAAGAAAGGACTTCCTCGTGGCATTTTGGCTCTTTTCCTGGTTTTCAGCAGAAGCAGGAAGCGCACAAGCAAGTATAAACAGATACAAGTTGAAAAATGTTCAGTTAACTTTTGAACAAACTTCCACTGGGGGATGAAGGGGGAGTAAGGTTTTGAATTGGTTCTTGTTTAAGTCGGTGCTATAGAGTCTGCTTTCAGCACATCCCATGACCAGTGCCCAAAATGTGAACTTTGAGAAAATGGTAAGGCTGCACACTTGCTCACTGGTGTCACTTCTGCTCATCGTTACACTAATCACTGCTAATCTTCACTTCAGGCCATGCTCCTAAATCAAGTGTTACAGTATTCGATAACCTTTATTTCATACACACCAATTTCTCTGCAAAAGTGTACATTTTAGCGTTGACAGTACAAGGTATATTCTGTGCTCTCTTGAACTTAGCAGGTTTTGACAGATTTATGGAAGGACAGATGGCCATTACGGGCTGAAGGCTGACAAGAGGCAGTTCAGAGCATTGTTAACACACTTGCACAAACTCTCAGCAGTGCAGCACTGTGCAGAATGTAATTCAGACTATAGCTTTTTTATTGCTGCCTATTTTCTTTTGTCAAAAGAGCCTGCTGTGCACAGCAACAAATGGCTGCCATTACCCAGAATGTAATGGGTGTCAGACAAATCACGTAACACAAACAATCAAGAGTATGTAGGTCATATTTCAACAGAGCACAACCTTAGCAATATTTATGATTACTGCATTGAAATGTGCTCTATAATAAACAAGTACCTCTACATCAGTCACACTTACGTACTTCTGCACAGCAAATCTGTTAGAAGTGGTACATACTCTACAATCACCCCCCTTAAACAGTCTTTTTTCTTTTTAAAGTAAAAGGCAAGTATTTTTTCATGACACGCTATAAAACCATTTTCTTTGTAGGGACTTTTGTTTAATTGAACGGCTTCAGTAAATGGTACGTTTGCACTTTGCCTTGCTCTATCTGGATAGTGTGAACTCACTCATCTTGTGCTCAAAAATAGTCCTAACAATTTGTGAATACTGCTGCCAACCCAGCACTGCCTTCTCTGTGTCGGTGCAACAAAAGGTGTTCCCATGTATGCTGGCCCCACTACCTCCCTGAGTGACTTCTTTCAATAGAGTTTCTGGGAGAGTGCAGGTACTTGTGATGCATACCAAAAGTGCACTAAAAAACAGCCACCTTAGTTAACTCATTTAGCTCAGCAAATCGATAATCAGAAATTAGGGAATTGCGTTTGCGTAAAAAGTGACATCTTGACTTTTCAGGACTCATTTGCAATGAGGTTTTAACCAGACACCAATCTTCCTAAAATTCGACTGTAACTGTAGGCATTTAAACACTTGATGATGTTTGTTGTGCTTTGGTGGGGGGAATGAGTATTTTTGGGCGAACACAGCTGTGCAACCTTCCTATATGTGCACTGAGCTTTTGAGAGGCATGGAAAATGATTTCTTTCATACTTTTAAAGTCTGGAAACAGACTGTCAAGGGAAACACTATTTAAGGCCACTAAAAACACTGAACACATGGTAACAGCTCAATTCAGTAAAAAAAAAATAATCAGAGTTTTTGTGTGGCATAAGATTGCAGAAGCCAGGAAAATATAATAAAATTAAATAGCCATCATATAATAAAAAACTACATGCTTGTTTAGTATTCAGTTTAATCTTCTTGTCAGTGCTACAGAGAATAAATACAGACTCCTGAAAATATCTAATAATTCACAAGATCTTATTCCCCCAGACAACTCTCTGCATCTCTCATTTGATCAGAAATCATTCTCAGGTCAAAGAAGTTCTTATATGATAGATCTGAAGTATTTGTTCTGACAACTAAGAAGTAACTCAGATCTAGAGGTGGGCAAATAGCAGGGTTTATGTATCCTCAAGGATGCTCATGAATTCCAAATCACTGTGCGAGCCAATCATGTTCATATTGCCTTTTACACCATCTTTTTGAAGAGATCAAATTTTGCATCCAAGAGAGACTGGAGTTTTATATTCAGGTAAATTATAAAGATCTTAACGAGAGACTTTTCACTAAGACACCTGTTGAAGACAGGAAGGTGGAAATAGACTTCCAGTTGTTGATTGCTGCTTGTATGGTAGTAGAATCTCAGGCATGTAAACTCACTTAATGCATTCATATGATGTCTTTGGGTATTTAGGAATGAAGGCTTAAAAAGGCATTGAGAGAACTAAGAGGGCAAAAAACCATGCCATTTATCTTCTGGAGGAGCCCTCAATTCTCAAGAGAAACACCGTAACTTCTAGAGGTGAGTTGTCCTACTGTGTCTGCAGGTATCTCTTCAACCTGACATGTTCCAAAGAGAAAAGAGTAACACAAAAACCTCCCATGTCCCTGGAAGATATCAGAGATGTTCCAGCCCATGGCTTCTTAGCAAAGTGCTTGCACTGCAGCTAGCTGCAGAAAAACAGATGAAGGCTCTTACTCAGAATAAGACTCACCTTATGCAGAAATTTTATCACTACTTTATCATCATCTCCAAGTCATGACGTTCTGATCCATTTTCCACAAAATAGCACTGGAAACTAGCTAGCAGTACTGATTTTAGATAGACTTATTTGTTCATCACAAGACATTAAAAGGGCGCTCAAAGAATTTGTACATTCTTATACATTCTGCCTTGAAAAAACTTTAAAAGATATTTGTTCTTTATCATTTGACAGATATTTGACAAAAGTTTTGATGGTTTTAAGGAGGACATAGTTATACTCACAAGTACTAACAAAGCCATTCTAAAGCAAGTTATGGCATTGGCAAGGGAATGGATTCAGTTTGACTTTAGATATGTGAATCTAAAATGTATACATGACAAAGACTGATGGTTAGAGCAGTAAATGCACTTATTTATTTTTCTTCTCTATAGTTAATTCGTCAGTGAGGGAACCAGTGCTGCTTTCAGCAGAGAACAAGGGAGCTGCTATTTATATTAAAATATTTTGTGCTTCGATAGTGCAATTTTAATTCATCAGTAAGATCAAGGCAACTCCACTGTAAATTACAGTATACAGTGTAAGTTGCCCTGTATAAGGACAATGAACAATGCGGCTACCTGGATATAATTTGGAGTTGCTAGGGACTCACTAAAGAACTCCAAGATATTATTAATTGCTACTGCCACTATTTTATTCTTTTGTTGTTGTTTTTACTGAAATGGGTCCCAGCTTTTCCTGTATTTACTCACATAAGGACTTTTTAAGTCCTTCAGTACTAGAGGTTGTTTCTGTTATGTCTGCTTCCAGCACAAGTAAACTCATGACAAAAAACACTATTGCAATCCAAATAAATGACTTGAAGAGAAATTCATGCACAATCACTCATCTTTTTATATATTTATATACACATACAAAAATAAAATCTATGTATATGTGAAGACAGATTAATACAGCTGTCAAGTGATGAATGGCAAACTCCTGAAACCTTCTCACCAGGTATTTTGAAGAGCAGAGCAAGTGCAACATGAAGTCCAGCAGCCACCATCAACTACACTGCTTGTAAACACTGCCCAAACTCCCTGGCTGCATGTGCTCCAACGATTCCTGTACTTCATTATCATCAGTTAATTTTCTAGCTAGATTTATTTCCAGGGGGTATAATTTCATATTTTCATAGGATGATGCTGTTTTTATTTCACAGCCTCTGATGCATCTTTTAATTTGCTGCATTTCCTTGTTATACTATCTAAAACAACAACACAGTCGCTTCATTGCCTCCCCCACGCACAGCAGACACATGGAAATGAACTCACTAACACCCAGCCCATTCCCATTGCCATTCTTGAGACCAGAGGACTATCAAGAGGTTAGATTAGCTCCCAGGTTCTATCCAGCGAGCTGATGTGAAGAGCAGGCTGCTGTCTTTCTGTCTGGAAGAAAATACTGTTCCCTTCAGTGATCTCAACCACTGCCTGAACAACTCTGCTATCGTCACCTCATCTGCCCCTTCCAGCTGGTAGCACTAAGCACTGACTCACCAGTGTGCCTCCAAACATGCACTTTCATGCAGATTTGCTCTCCAGTAATGACAAAAAAAGACTTCTTCATGCTTCAGGCTTGTTGGCACTGAATTGGATTATCCTGCTGCATGCTGTGAATTTTGCCATGTCTGTATCAGTTTTGCAAAAGGAAGGTGTGTTGCAAGGATGTTGCATTTTGTCACTAGAGGAATGATTAAGAGCGCAGATTTTCAGGACATGTCAGAGGAAAGCGTGCATGTTTTAATGCTGAATTAATGAAGTTTCTGAAAAAGTGATATGATGGGCAGTGAAAGCAACTGCCCAAGGTACATACACAAACTGATATATATATTATATATAGATAGATAGATAATTATATATCATATATATAATATGATATATATATTATATATATGCCCCTGTGAGAAACACATGCCGAGCATTTATTTTTCAGTATTACACAACTGAGAAAGAAAACATTCTTGGCAGTAGCTCAGGTGGAGCTCAGCATGTGTTCCTGTGCTCAGTTCTGGACACGTCAGGAAAACAGAGGCAAAAGAGAGGTCAGAGAAAAGCAATAAGACAGATCTGAGATCTGAAGAACTTTTGTGGAAAGAGCAGATGAATTAAATGAGTGTAATGGATGACACATCAACCGAAGCTGCACACGATAAAAAATCTACACATCTTCGAAAGGTACAAACACTGGGGGCCAGACAGGAGGAGGAGGACAGAAAAGAGGTGGTGTGAAGTGTGCTAATGGGAGAAATAAAGAGAAAGTAAGAACATAAAATGAATATCAATTTTAAAAAATTACCTTTTAGCTATGGAACAGTTTTTCAGTGGCAGAGCAGAAAGCTGTTATTTGTGACATATTAATCTAGAATTGACAAAGCACTGAAACATGCAGTCACGTACAGCCCTAGACTGGCCTGGAGACAGACTGGTTGACATAACTTTTCCATCTGTAACATCGATTACACTCTGCTGTGGGGTTTGTCTTTGAAAGATGGTGCTCAGCAGTACACAAATCTATGGGGAAATGGGGAAGTATAACAGATAAATGGTTTCATTCATATTTTTCTAGAAATTATGCGCTCTTGTGTAGGTTTGGAGCAATATTTTCAAACACATTCCCTCTCAGGCAACTGGATAAAAAGTCAACGCAAACTGCTCTGAAATTAATCTCCTGGAGACCTCTGTAAGATCTCAGTGTATGTGTTGTATATTGAAATGAACAAACACACACCAAACCATGCTTAAAGGAAAAGCTAACTCTACCCATTTCTCACCTGCAGTTCCAGAGAGTTCCACACTTAAGGTTTGTTCAATAGTCTTGTTCTCAAATGGGGAACCCTTGGGATCACTGGAAGACAGGGCACATTTATAAAAACAAGCTGAAATGGAGTTGCTGTAGCCAAAATGTATTAGATTCCCCTCCCTTTTATAAATGTTTGCACTTTTTACTACTTACTTTGGAGACTCAGGCGTCAACGGAAGTGATAAACTTGTTGGTTTGGCTAAGGGGAAAAAAGAAAACCATTATAGAATATTTAAGCACTCCATAACATATACCAAAAAGTTGTCTTTATTTTTGTGATGGAAACCCCTATTAGTCAGTTAGGGCTGGGTTCTGATTGTTCAGTAGCCATTTCTGTATACTTCGGATAAATGGGGAGTCACATCCTCATTCCTTAGCACTGGCACAAGAAAGGTAACTAAATTTCAACAATGATTTACAGCAATTACTGCACCTCTCAAATACAGCACACAGCACAAATGCCAAGAACCTTTCAGAAGAAGAGTGGTACATGTTAAAAATCAATGAAGAAATCCACAGGATGCACCATGAAAATTTTATTTTCTCCTAGATTTAATTTAGAATACTGTCTACATTTTATTTGGAAACAAGAACAGCAGAATAACTACAAACTAACAGAACGTTATGAATATTCAGTTAATTTTACTTCTACAGTATACAATTTTATATGTAGCACTGAGAATAGGTTGTTTTATGAGGCTGGAGTGCAACTTGCTATAGTCCAAATTTCTGCAAATTATCCTGCAAACTATGACAAGCCATGGATTCACTCACAGATGGTTAAAAATGGGGCTGATGCTCTCAGCACTACAATCCCAACATACACAAAAAAACAAAGCTCTAGCTATAAAAATACAAGTCTTTGTAGCTTTTATTCATGCAAGCTTGTATTTTCCCAAAGCAAGTCAAGAACTAGAATACTGCAATACAACTAAGATTCTTCTAATTGCCAGAAAAAACGTTCAAAATTAAAAATAATATTACTTGCAAATTTTACTTTTCAGAAGTTAGATTGATGCTTAAATGCAGAGAGCATTGTACCAAGAAAAACAGCAGGGGATCTCTTCTGCAAATTAATTACTTAAGACAAAATGTTCCCCTTGAACACTTCTGCACTGCAGATCTTTTGTCCAGAGTGTCACTACTGCGTATTTCGCATTCATTCCAGGCTTGGAGCTCCCATTGACATTAAAGGATTTTATATGCAAATTGATTACTTTTATAAGCTCTAGAGCATTCCTGGAGTAATATTACATTTTTTAAAAATTAACTCAATTCTCAAGAGCTGCATATTGTTCCTCCTCCTCCCCATCTGAAAGTTAGAAATGGAAACTCAGGTGTTCACCTTAGGTTCACCTTCCTCAGAATTCACTGCCACAGTGAGGAAATGCACCAAAACGGCTTAAGTGCCTGATCCAGCACCGCCAGCGATTTGTGCATAAAAAAGATTTCCATAAGACCATCTGTAAGATGACACAACTTCGCAAGTACTTTATACACAACTAGGATACTAATGTTTGTGACTGTTGCCAGCGCCTACCTTGAGGTAAAACTGGCTAAAAAGAACAGACCTTACCAAAAGGCTCAGGAAGAAAGTCTGTACAAACAAATGCTCCTACTGTTTTTCAGAGAACAAAAACTACATACACTTACCCAGCTTGGCCTTCCTATGAAAGCTGAATGTGTTAGAGTTATTTAAGCTTCTAAAAAGTCTCCTTCTAGCTCTCATATAGAGAGGCAGATCCAAATAAATAGATGTATAAAATCTGAAACACTACGACACAGCACCCAAGCGTCATCTCACACTCCTCTGTATTCACTTAGGCAGATATTGTTTAGCCCTCTCACTGAGAAATTCATATACCAAAACATCATTAATTTTTCTTATTGTTAGGCACGGGCTTGACCAAACAGGATTCCATCCTCATTTATAGTCACTGACACTGTAAATGTTTAGCCAATACCATTTTCCACAGTGACTGTTTATTCAATTTTTAAGGTCTATCATAGTGTGTTTTATTTGTATTTAAAAGAGTTCACATGAAGTTGCTTGTTTCTGTAAATTGAAAACATTCAGGTTCAAAATAACTAAATTTCCTCATGGGCAAATTTCAGTGTAAAACCACAGATGATCTTTGGCATGAACGGGTTTGTGGACATTCCCATGGGTTTGCAATATGTTTGCAACAATAACCCTAAAGGAAAATATCATTTTACTTCTCTTTCGTGAGCTTTCCCTAACTTTGAAAGAAAATATTAGGGCCTGATTATCTTTTAAAACAGAAGGAGACAATATTTTTAGTTTTGATTAAATGTATAAAGAAATGACTGTACATCCGTGAATAGCACTCGAATCTGCAAGGTCAGTTCTGCACAAAAAGTCTGTCCAAGCTGAAAGCATTATATTCTTGTACTTGTATTATATGCACATTCATTGACACTGAAGTCATATATGAGTGTGAGACAAATTTGATGAAAAAACATTTCAGAAGTCTGTAAATAAAACTGCAGGAATTAAAAAAAGACAATAATTTCTCTCTGCCTGTAATTTCACCTGCAATATCACAGAAGACACTGTCATTTGTTAATCACTGGTGAGTTGGCTGCATGTCCTTTTAGGACTTTCCTAACTTCTCCCTTTACACTGTTGTCACAACCCACTTTATTTTGTTTCTTTGCATAAAATCTGTACAATTTGGGAAAAAATGCAGCTCTGATCCAACAGCAAGATTTTATAATCAGTAATTATGTACATGTGCACACACACCTGTGTATAACATACATGTGTGTATAAGATATCTTACATGTGATATGCACCTAGCAGTGTTAGTAAAGCACTGGGTTGTGGCTGGCAGGCCTATGCCTGGTTCCACAACCCTTGCAGTACAACATCCAGGTTTGAGATGAATGCTTCAATCAGGATTTTGCTCTGAAGCAGTCTGCTGAGATCAGCCAGAAGGAGTGGCAGTTGGCATTCAAGAAGCTCTAGGGGCAGCTGGATTTCCTTCTTACAAGAAACACTGTTCAGAGAATTTGAAACCACAATGGAGAAAGCTATACGATAGATGTCAGAACACACTGCTGTGAGCAGGGCATTTAGTGATGGGGAGGAAACATAATTTTGTTAAGTTTGCTTATACCTCCTAACAAAGAGTGAAAGAATAGACTTGATGGAGGCTGAAAAAGCAGGGAGAAGTGAGAAGAGGAGGAAAAAATACATATGCAGTTCAGAATTCTCACTTTACAAACTCCAAGGCAACATGTAGTGTGTTATATACTGATCTCTGTTGCAGCAGGATGACTTCCATCGGCTTCAGAGGAGTCATCCAGGATTTGCACCAATGTTACTGAGATAAGTATTCGGCTTTTCCAATTCCAGACAAGTATATCCATAGATGTATTTTAAAGCAAGAGTAACTTTAAATAAGCTCCCTTTGGGCTCATAAGCTTTTACAGTTCTTCTTTATCTTGGGAAAACAGGCAGGAGAGGAGTGGAGCAAAAGAGGAGCCTCTAAGTTCTTGCTTCTCTGTCACCGAAGCAAGTAATATAGCCCAGTTCTTTACGCATTGGAGGGTATTAAAAGTCAACACAAGTGTTTAGGTTTGGCCATAAAGAATCTAAAGAGAGAGAAAGATCAGGATGGTTGCTAAACTTCCAACTATTTGCAAAATAAAATTACAAACCAGCATTCCTACTTTAACAGGAATGACACATTTATTGCTTATTCTGTAGCAGTGAGAACGCTATTTATTGTCTCTTAAGGACGATGTGGCAGGTTAACAATGCCTTCGGTTTTACACTGGCAAAAAGAAAGAAGCTCACTAATGAACAAGCCTGCCCAGTTTGTTTAGGGGTATAATGATTTCTTAGTGGTACAGTACTCTGTGAATAAATATCTCCAACTCGCTTGATATACTGACATGTAGCATTTGTTAACTTTTTTTTTTCTTCTGAGGTTCCTTTTCTGAGATTGAGGGCAACAGAGACAGGATTAAAACTTCAAAAGTTAAACCTGGCTAATTCTAACTTCATTATACTGTTTTAAAACACTCTCTATACAGAAGAAAGAGATGCTGGGTTTACAATAGTAACCCAAGGAACAGAAGAGGTATGAGGGTATTCACAAGCATTGTATCTCAGCTTCCCTCCAAAACCAAAACTATGCTCTGTGCTCCTGCACCTACCTTGCAGGTGATTTGTCTGAGACTGCAGATGGGGCTTCCTTTTGGAGGTGCATTTCTCTTTGCTGCTGTTCCTGTTCTCTGCTGGTTTGTTCTGAGGAGGGTCATCATTCGTAGTCAGATATTTGAGAAGTTCAGAGCAGGGACGTCTTTGTGGCTTCTGTTGTTGACAAATGCTCTTCGCTTTATTGCTCCACGAATTCTCAGTCTTAAAAACAGAGCATTAAGAAAAAAAGAAAAAAAAAGAAAAAAAAAAAGCTAAAATCAGTGAACTGAACCTTATCAGAATGGATATAGGTTTTCTAAAGAGATGAGATTTTCAATGAAGTGTTCAGTCTAAGTGTACTAGATCTATGAGCTGTGAATAATTGTTTGCAGAACAAGAAAAGAAAATTACATTGAAATTCCTAAATGACATTTATGCAGCTTTTTTATTTCATTCTTCCAACATTTCAATGTTCCTACTCAGCAACATGTAACTAACAAGACCCTACAGCGCCTTTACTGTGAACAAAAAAAATAAGCTGGTTTAAACCTTAATTTGCTGCTGATTGCTTGAGCCCAGTATTCACAACTCTCTTAAGTACCCCTAAATGCTTCGTTTTCAGTTACAGTGAATGGCAAGACAAACATTGTTTAATACTGCCTGCTAACAGAATTATGTCAGAGACACCATTCTTTCCAATTAATGGCTGATATACATCTTTTGCCAAGAATCCAGTGCGATTTTTCTTAGCCCAGACAGCTGGTAAAATGGCAGTCTTGCATCCTGGAGTCACTCATAAACAACACCAGCCCATCAACAAATTTTATTGCACCCCCTACTACTGTGTGTATCAATAAAGTAGGCAAGAGTAACAGACGGTGGGACTACAGCTGAACTCTGCCAAGAGAAAAAGCAAAAATGAAATATTCAGAGCATAAAGGAGCTCAGGTGATTTTCTGGAACCCAGTCTATAATCTGTTCACATTTTTTGAAGCAGTTGCTGGATAGTAGGCAGATTAATACCACACATACAGATCTACTGCTTACTTGATTGCTGCAAGCATAAAAGACATGTTACATTTTTTCTCTCTTTTTTTCCCCCCTTATTACAAAGATTAAATTTGTACCTTAACAACCACAGGGCTTGTCCTGATCCTGTGATTTGTATTTGCATGGTTTTGTGTGCTGAGACCACTGCATTCATTGTAATTTAGCTGAGTGTTGGCTGGAGCCAGCAAGAGCTTCTTGAGCTACGAACACATAGAGAAAAGGAGGTGGAAGGAAAAAAGTAAAGTTATGCATCTTTATGGATTAAAATTACCTGTCTAAATTTTCTGCATCGTTGCTTGAAACTAGCTACTACAATTTCAGCAAGTAAAGTGCATTAAAACAGAAGGAAGGGCTCAATACTCCCTAGAGCAAACAGATTCTATTTTCTTCTGAGGCTTGGCAACAAACTTCCTTTCCTTCCATTTTACTGCAGTATACTGCAGGGCAAGCAGAAATGGCAGGGGCCTTGGATTTCTAAATCCAAGGCAAAGCAAAATTCTCAGCGATCTGTTCAACAGAACAAGTCTCTGATCTAAACAGAGAAGTTAACTTGAACAGAATAATGGATGCTTGTATCTGACTCTGCTATTGCAGAAGTCAGGGATAAATTACTTTCACCAGAAATAGAATCCTGTCTCAAACTCTCTTTACAGAACAAAATGCGTGTAAGGTTTCATTCACATCCTCACCCAAGATTCAGATTTGCCCTGATTAGTGCTAAGCTGGTGCTTACTGGTAAAATGAGCGTTAAAGGCACAAAATTAGCCCTGCAGTGCGCCAGACTCAATGGGCACTTCTTTACAGATCACCAAAGTAAAGTCTAAACATATACAGCAAAGAGCCTCAAGAAATGTAACGCGAATTAAAAAATATTCTCCTGACTTATTTGAACAGAATAATCAGCAAAAGTGTCAGTCATTAGCAAAAGAAGTTAAAAAATAATCTCTTCAATCTACTTTTTAGTAGATTCCTTTATTAGTCATGTTATGATTGATTGGTGTGTTTTCTTCCCCACTTATGTTTCAGTTCTTTACTTGATTTCCCTTTTCAGTCTATGTGAAAAGTCCAGACCTTACTGTGACTACATCATACCCATGCAGTGGGTAGCCAGAGACACATCCAGTTCCTGTTAAATAGTAGGAAGGGTTCTTACTAGAGACGGCTCTTCTGCCTCCTGGGGCGGCGGGGTGCCGTCGGGCATCGGGGAAGGGCTGGCGTCATGTTCATTGGTCACATCTCCATCTGTCAGTGCATCAAATGAAGGCAATCCATCCTCATCCACAGGGATGCTGTCCAGTGTCTCAGTGAGAACTGCTAGCAAGTTTGCCTCATTCTCTTCATCTATTTTCTGTGTGAAGACCAAAAAAAAGAGTGGAACCAGGTGAGAAGATGAAAGAATGAAACAGTGACTCTGCATGTGAAAAAGCAGTCAAAACATTATTAAATATTGCCTTGAAACCTTAACCTGCAACAGCGTCTCAGGAGATGCAATTAAGTGCAAGAAAATTATCCAGCTCTGCATTTAAGAGAAATCTCTTCGCATTTGCAGTATATTACTCTGCTTTACTTTTCCTCCACGATTCTCTCAATGCAGCATTAATACCAACAGATAATCAGGCAGGGATTGCATTACAGAATGTGCCGAGGCTACTGGCACCTAACGATGGTGTCAGCCCAGGCTGTCTCTTTCTTTCTCCTTTGAACACTGAACAACAGTTAATTGACCTGACAAAATTACAAGAATCACAGAATAAGACAGCTAATCAGAAGGCCAAAATGAATTAACAGAGAAATCTGGCAAACCTTGTTCATGTACGTAGCCCAGCATGAGAGAGACAAGATCTCTCTTCCTTACTTCTGGACACACTTGCTCCAAAAACAAGGGAAAAACTTCTAACTCCTGAACATTTTGGCACTACACTAGCAAGCAAGACTCACAGAATCACAGAATTGTAGGGGTTGGAAGGGACCTCTAGAGATCATCGAGACCAACCCCCCTGGCAAAGCAGGTTCCCTACACCAGGTCGCACAGGTAGGCATCCAGGTGAGACTTGAATATCTCCAGAGAAGGAGACTCCACAACCCCCCTGGGCAGCCTGTTCCAGTGCTCCATCACCCTCACCGTAAAGAAGTTCTTGCGCACATTCATTCAAAACTCACACTCTAAATGGCAGATTCTGGGTTTCTTTTAAATGAATATGTTAAGCAGTTGCCTTTCAAGTTCTCTTTTTGAATTACGTAGTTTGAGTGCTCAATGCAGCTATTGTATGCATTTATCTAATTCCAACTGCAATTATAAAAAGTAGATTAATCCCTAATCAGATGTGGCTGTAATGTTGAATTATACTAGATATCTTATTTCAGAAACAAGACTACTTTCTGTCAAATTGAGTAAATTTAAATACCTCCCAATTTTTTTAGTGAAATATAGTCCCAGCTGTGTATTAAGGTAAAGATTTTTTGGAGTACTAATTGTTCTGAGGAATAGAATTGTGTAAAAATTATTATATTTATTCTTCAAAAAGAGCGGAAATTGATCTTGACAGATCAATTATCTGGGACTTTTAGGCTGATCCTCGCGCCATTAAAATGAACAAAAAGCCTTTCCCTGATTCCAGAGATCTGAACCAAATGCAAGGCCACCAGTTTGGAGCTTTTCCACACACTTCACAGTGGCTCATCACACCCTGGGTTCACACTACAAAGAGATTTCAGCGAAGTTCAGATCACACATTTGAGAAGTGAACTAGCAAGGCATATACGAGACAAATAAAAGCTCACCCTTTTGTAAAAAGTAGTGTTAGAAAAGTCAACATCAAAACACTGCCAGTAACACCTCAGAATAGAGAAAAAAAATCAGGTGAATCTGTGCGTCCCCTCACTACAACTTTTTCTGCAATACAGCATCATCCACCAGACTCTAAGGAGAGATGAGCATCAACCGCACAGACAATTCCTCCTGGCAGGCTGCTCTGCCAAATCGCACCTCATGGGTTCCTGCAGACAAACTCTGCGTTCTCGTTAGAAAGCTGTGGCAGAGCACAGACTGCTCCGGTGCTTACAGCATTGTCCCCAGAAACGAATAAACACTCATGCACAGCTAATGCTAAGGAGAAGCATTTACTTAAAAGGCCAAAAGGGGCCTGACCACTGAGAAAAAGAGCCTAAGTCTATACATCTAGTAATTTCCATCATACCACGCAGAAACATGCATAGCGCCGTGACAATTCAGATGCTCTACTCCAGTGCTAGAATAGAGGGTATGGAAATAACCAGAGGGAAGCCACTTTGCGAATAAAACTTGCTCCAAATCCAGCTCTTCACAGCCACTTTTTGAGAAGAGGGACGTTATCGGTATCACTTTCAGAAAAGTGTAAAAAGAGGTTATCAGGCAAAAAAGCACTTTGCAGGGTAATGAAGTATAATGGTACGGTTTTTGGGCTTCTCCAGGCAGGGTGCATCCTCTTCCGCTGCTGGCCCATGGCACTTTGGGGGGTTCTGGCTGACCCTGCAGCAGAAATGTCTCCAGCAAGGCCAGCTGGGAGGGTGCCCTTTGCCTTTCTGCTGAGTGCTTCAGCACACAGAGCCAACAACAGAGCTCCAAGTGATGCTATTTCTAACTGGGAATGCCTTCTTCAATAATAGCATGACAGAAGAAACCCTGATATTTGCTGTTAGCTGCTTAGCTCTCATGCTTTAAACAGACATTCAAGTGCACTGACATTCAAGAACAGAAAGTTGAGTGGACGCTGGTCCTCATCACAGCAATTTCAATTAGTTTTGTACAAGTTTCAACATTCAAACACCCCAGAGAAAGGAAAGGATGTGACAAAGAGGACTCTGTTAAACAATTAATGTCAGTTTCCATTATTGCTTCAGTCCCAATTTACAGAGCAAATAAATCAAAGTCACCACAGATGAAGCACACTAGCTGGCTAACACATGTCTATTCACAAATGACATGGCAGCAGGAACACATTAGTCAGGAAAATGACATTGCAAGATAACCTTTTAAAGGTTTAACTGTGCAATTGCTCCTAATTGTCCTAAATTAGTGTTTATAAAGAAATACATTTATTAGGTACAGCAGAAACGGGGCTGAGGGGACATGCAAAGTGGGATGGTTGGGTACATCACTGTCTGAGTAATAATCACTGAAGCAGCAACTTTCTGCTCTGCTCTCACAGCCTGAGTCTTGGTGTTGACAGCACTGGGGAGAAGCAACACTGTGGCCAAATGCAGGATATTTCACAGTTTCAGCACTGTCATCTATGAAGTCCACATTCCAGACTGCCATCCAACTTACTCACTAAACATCCAACACAAGTAGGGTTGGAAATTATTTGCTAAATCTAAAGAAGCAGCTGTTAAGTAGTTAGGCCTCCTGAAGGAACTACAGCGCATAACAAAATGGGGTGGAAGACAATATCAAAAGTAAAACCATATGGCAAATATTTCTTAATGACTGCATCTTACAAAGCAGTGGAACTCTTTAATGTAGAAGCAGTCATGCATCACTTCTCAACTACATGAACTTCTTAAACCCTTGGTGGTTGGTTTTAAGATAAAGGCATCGGGGACATAGGATTTTTCTGATCCCCGTATATTTCCACTTGGCTGAATCAGGCAAGGAACCTGAGGCACTAAATGCATGTGCTTGAGCATGAGTTTCTAGCACATCTGGTACAATAGGTACATTCTGAAGAAAAGTAAGATTGGGCATTTATGTACCAGAGAACACGAGAGGGAAAGCTGACTAACATAGCAAATTGCCAGAACACCAGCTGACCCTCAAAGATGAGCTACTGAGGTGTCCAAATACCACAGAAAGTTTCTAACTGTATTTTTACATGTTTTGCTCTAATTCTTTTGTATTTCTACAGCACTAAAAATAATGTCATCTGAAAACACTTTATTAGTTGTGCAACGATCTTATTCTAATTGGTTTCTGCCTTCAGTAAAACGTCTCCAGAGATAGTGTCTTTTTGGCCAGTGAGAAGATCTAAGAAATGAGGCAATAATTTACCCACACAAAAGTATTTAAATCCTCTACCCCTGATAATTCGTTCTCCTTTGCTTACTCTTCCCTTTGATGGAGCTGGGTTCACCTGATGGTTAGTGATTCATGCCTGCAATACCAGTTGTTGGCACGTGGAAAAGTATAGCATCGAGACTCGGACACCTTGTCTTTCAGAGACATCACTACAGGGAACATACATTGAGCAATGCTGCAATTTTTCCTTATATATATTTTTTGTCCTTAAAAAAGTCCTGCAAAATTTCAGAACATCCATCCTTACCATCACCAATCCCTCCCTGAAGTCAGTGCACACGGTTTCTTGCTCAGGACTCTGCTGTAGCTGATCTACAGTCAGCATAGGCACACTGATTCTAGATCATTATTCTGAAAATCTTTTCTTTTTATCAAATGCATCTCCTGCCCTTCATTTTCAGTTACTACAAAGACAGCTTTTGCTTACTCTATTGCAAGGAAAGAAATCAGTTAGTGAATGAGAAAGATGCCCTAAATTTTCTTCATCGATGATGTGAATGATGCGAAGGTCCTTCTTGATTCACAAAGAAAGACTGAGACTTAAGCTGTGCTATTCATCCACAGCCCTGAGCTTGGGGCAGTGGCAGCTTGCCACGTCTTTGTGAAGAGCCCAGGAAACTTCAGGCCTAATCCACAGCTGGCAGAAGCTATCATGACTCTAGCAGTCAGCTCTGTGAGCAATTCAGAGAAGCCAGGTGGGTACCTGAACTCACAAGGGATCACCACTTCAGCAGACCAACTCATTTCTCCTCGGTAGCCTAAGATCTATTCATAGCATAATTAACAAAGAAAATAAGAGATTTTCCCCGAGCTGAAAATATCCGCATGATCTAAAAATATCAGTACATTATGGCACTATTTGCAAAAGCACAAAAATGACTAGTGAGTCCACCTGGGGTTTCCAACAGGATTTAATTCCTTCCAGACACGTATTAGAATAAGCTTGTCCTTAAGACTCACAATACCAAGAAAAATGAAGGGTTTGGTCCTTCTCACACATCAGGACACAGAGGCACCAAAAAGCTCACCATCATCACCCCAGAGTGCACGGTAGGGGCAGATGGTGTTTCAGCCTCAGTCCCACAAATCAACCTTTTCCACCCAAGGATGAGGAGCCACAGGCTGGATAGAAGCCCAGGAGAAGTCGGAGGGAAGGGATCAGGAAACAAGTGAATGTGTTCCAGGTGAAAGAACACGAGGGCTGAGGCCAGGGACTGCTGGTGGAAAGCATCACACCCCAACCCAGAGAAGAAGAACCAGTGGTAGAAGAGGAATCATGTGCTCTACTCTACCTG